TAAGTTTTCCTCATATGACAAAAAATGGTAATTGTACATTTTCCATACAGTAATTATGAGAAATAAGTGAGATAACATGAGGCAATGTCTAGCACAGCACTTGGCATATAGTAAATGTTCCTTGAATCTAAGAATGAATTGCCAAATAGGCTACTCTATAGTGGCATGATTCATTTGTAACTTTTGCCTACAGCTTAAAGATGTATAATTAAACCACACTTATTGGAGAAGAGCTATTTATCACTACACAAAATTATGCTATTTTATTCCTAGTGCTTCCTTATTCCTTAGTACTTCCTTGTCTTGTCCTCAGTACACTATGGGAACCATTTTTATATTTTGTTTATGCCTCATTTCATGATAAACACAGGCCATAAAAATATCAGGAAATCTGCAATTGTAAAACTAGAATTCAGTAAAATACAGAACTTTGGTTTAATGGGAATGCTAATATATTTTCTCCATGGAAACTTTCATATTGCTGAGAATAGGTAGGTGGCATGTTATAAGGGTTACTTGATTAGGTAATATATTCTCTGTGTCTGCCAGCATCTGTTTCTCTGGATACATTTGATTCATAGCATTTGTTAACCACATACATATAGTTCAAAGGCTTTGTGGTCCATTTTGTGTCTTTTATTAGTTGTTTAGTTACAAGAAGGTTTCTATGGGAATCATTCTGAAAATAATGCCACTTTATTTTTATCTCTAAGACACTCAATACAATTGAAGGAGAAAAAGGGCAATGCCTGTGAGATGCTGTTAAATTCCCATCTCTACTTCTGTCGTTCCATCAAGATCAAACAGGTTTTACACACTAGCAGTCACATCGAGCAGACACCAAATGAGATGCATATGTGAAGCTGTGATAAAAGAGGGCTTTATAAAGAGGAAAGAAAAGCCTAGCAGGCATGGCTGCCTGGCAGATGAAGAAAGTACTCTGGCTATTATTAGGGAGAATGGAATACAGTGCCAAGACTCGGAGAATCAGTGTCAGATATCACACAGGGACCCAATATGGAGTGATTCATTCACTAGCCCCTACTGCAAACAAGGGAGCCCAAAATCTACTTTAAAAATCGGCTGGTAACAAGATTCAGTATGAAACACTCCCCCCCCCCCCAGGTTTTCGCCGTGTAGCTTTGCGCCTTTCCTGGAACTCACTCTGTAGCCCAGCCTGGCCTCGACCTCACAGAGATCTGCTTGCCTCTGCCTCCTGAATGCTGGGATTAAAGGTGTGCGCCACCACCGCCCTGCATGAAACACTTTATAGTTGCAGAATCCATCAGATTCTGAGTCTACGTAAGAACTGCCAAGTGACACAGCATCTATTGTTTAATTCTGTGTTCTGACTCTGAAGCTACTTTTCTTAGGAACAGTTCGATCCATTAGAGGTACGGTTAGGGAACACATGCTGAAGGGAGCCAGTGCAGTATTAAAAATAAGTATGTCCTATCTATGCTTTTAAAAACCACTTACTTACTAAGTTTATTTCTATTGTTTATATATAAATATATTACATTTTATTATATATTTATTTTGTTGGTGTACTATAGTACACATATAGAGGTCAGAGGACCTTTTATTTCTGATTCATGTTTTCTTTAGTTAGTCAGAAAAAAGGGCAAATAAATAATAAACTCAGTATTTTCAACATATTTTGTATCAAATATTAACTCAAATTCTTTGAGTAGATGGAGAATATATGTTTAATATAGCAAATATTTATCTGCATCAGACCCTCAAACCACTAAAACAAAATTTATAAAGTGTATGTCTACTTATATATTAAACTGTTTATTGATTCTTTGTGGATTTCACATCATGCATCCTGATCTCATTCATTTTTCATCCCTTCATATTCACCCTCTGCCCTTGCAAATGCCTCCCCCCCCCTACAAAAAATAAAACTTAAAAGATAAAAGAAAAAAACAAAAACAAACAAGCAAACAATCTCTTCACGGAAGCTGTAGTGGACACAGGGAGTCCCACAGTATACCCTTTAGTCCATACATCTTTACCTGCAAGTAAGTGTTCATTGCAATGAGTCATTGACCTGGTTTGAGGCCTCTGGCTTTTGCTGTATCCTTGGTACTGGGCCTTCACTGGGGCTCCTCTTGAATATCCTGTTGTTGTCCTGTGTCATGGTGATCCGTCAGCTTTGGATCTGCAGGTCAAGCCCCTTCACATATTCCAGCAGTTCATAGATGAGGTGGATGTTGGAGTGGTCCAACTCATAGCCCTGGTTCTGGTCCTGGTCCATAGCTGTGTTGGTCAGCCTGCCAGAGTTCCCTCATTATTACCACCAGGGGGAGCTCTCCAGCACCGCCCCCACTAGCTCAGCCATTATAGCAAGCTCTCATGCACTCAGGGTCGGGTCCCCTGCACCCACACCACCAGGGCCAACTCTACTGTTTTGCCCAGGCGAGGTGCAGGCCCAGCTCTCCCGAGTGCTGCAGTTGGTGAGATGCAAGGCCAGCTCTCCTACTCTTAATGCCCCTGAGGCCAGCTCTCCTACTCTTAATGCCCCTGAGGCCAGCTCTCCCGTTTGCTACAGGTGGCAAGGGGTAGGGGAGGAGAGCATTTTCCCTCAGCTATGCTACCACATGGCACATGGCAGACAGGGCTGGGGTTGGGGGGGAGTCAGCTTTCCTGCTCTCATACCCTCAGGGCTAGCTTACATGTGTAAAGACCAGGGCCAGAATTAACTACATTTAAAGGAGCACATGCTTAATAATCTATTTATACATTTTCTGGGAAAACAAATCCATGACTTCCACATACACTCATAGTAGCAATAAAACAGAAATGAAGCTAGGTTGATCTCAGTCCTTGGGGGAGGCTTTGCCCTGGAGGAGGTGGGAATGGGGGGGAAGTAGGCTGGGGGGAAGGGGAGGGGAGTGGGAGGAGGGAGAACAAGGGAATCTGTGGCTGATATGTAGAATTGAATTGTATTGTAAAATAAAATAAAACTAAATTAAAAAAAGAAATGAAGCTAAACATTTATACATATCAAGCAATTAAAAACTATCAGTAATTTGATCCATATGGTATAGCATCCATTTTGAGAGAGTGGTTGGTTCCCACTTTACACCATGTGGGTTATGGGGATCAAACTTAGGTCATCAGTTACCAGGCTTAGAGGCAAACACATTTACCCATAGAGCCAGCTCACTGGTCCTGTTATATAGAAACGCACCCAATTTCATGTTCTTTAGCTGGCGGGTCTGCTAAGTCAGAGTGTATTTTGATTACTTCTAGATCCAGTTAGCTGGAATTTTTTTGCTTCTTCTTGTTGTTGTTTTGAGTAGCATCTCATGTAGCCCAGGCTGTTTTTGGACTTGCTATGTAGCTGGCAACTGGCCTTGAAATCAGATCTTGTTTTCTCCTTTCCTTTCTTCCTTCTCCCTCTCTTCCTCATCTTTAACACATATTTATTGAATACTCCTTAAGCTCTGGGTAGTAGTGTGATGAAAAGCTTCTAGCATCAAAAATATTTTCATTCTAGGAAAAAAATAAGTAGGAGTACTTTGGGCAATGATCATTGCAGTGCAGAGTGTGAGACGGAACACAGTGTTGGGATGAAGCTTTGGGGCGTTGGTTTCAGAGGAGAGTATCACTTGAATGACAACCAAGAGTCAGACATGCAAAGAACTGAGATGATCAGGCCTTTCAGGCAGAAGAATGCCAGAACACTCTGAGGGCAGAGGTCCCCAACATGGAGGCAGTTTGGTATGTTTAGGAAACTAGAAGGCATCTAGGTATGGTGGCACTCAGCTATAACCCCAGTATTTGGGAGGCTAAGGCAGGAGGATTGTAAGTTACAGGCTAGCTTGGGCTACACAGTGAGAATCTGTCTCAACAAAAGAAAAGAAGGAAATGAAACAAAGGAAGAAGGAAGGAAATACTGCTGAGGTCAGAAATAGAGGTATTTTCTGGTCGTCTAGAACTTGTGGGTTATCATAAGGAAGCTAGATGTTCTCAACAGTAGGGGGAGTCATTTAAATGAGGTATTTATTTTATGACTTATTTAAATAGCTAACTTCTAGAGGTGATGAGGTGATGAGAACTATCTTGAGGAACAAGAGTCGAAATAAGAGGGTTTATTAGGAGGCTTATGGAGTGATGCAGAAGTGGTAATGATGGCCATATAAAAGGCCATGCTATTCCAGGTGTTGTTCCTAAGAGGGAAGTTAGGAGAGGATGGTGGTAAGCAACTGGTATCTATTTAAGAGAAGACAGATGAGAAAAGAAGAAGGATCTGACCTAAGAGAGCTTGTGCAGTTTTCCATTTGTGGAGAGTGTCGGGTGCTATGGAAAGACTTCACTTTGTGGCATTTCAAGCTACTGTGATCCCTCCTGAACTTTCCCTTTGGTTTCCTACAGATGTCACAGCTAAGCCTGATTACCTTACTCTTTTCCTGCCCTCTTTTCTACCCTTGTATGTAGGCTGATGAAGACAGATTCCCTTCAGAAACTGATATAGATATAGGCTTAAAAAGGAACTATCACAACTTTATGATTTATAAGTATATTTTTCCTTGTTCTTTGAGAATTCCATACATGAATTAATATAAATGAATGGTGGTCAATACAGATATCACAACTGGTCAGAGAATAGATGATCGTGGAGTGTTCAGCTCCAAATGAGGACATTCATATTATACCCCATGTTCCCAAGGCTCAGGGATCATTTAGAGGAAGGTGATGTAAAGATTATAAGAGCTAAGGATTGGCTTGCACAGGGCTATGACACATATGAATTCACAGTGGCTGTGGTTGCCTGCATAATGCCTGGACAAGACCAAGCCAGTCAAAAATTCAAATGGTTAGGAAGAATCTCACCATGATCCACCCATAGCTGAGGATTTATTGGCACATGATGGCTGATAGGGGGGAGACAGTAAGTTTCTCTTAGAGGTGGGGCCCTTGGTAGTTTCCTGTACCCTAATAGATGATCCTGCACCCATGCTCATACTGACAGAACTTATTGGAGTCAGTGGGTTAAAAATAATTTTATATTTCTTAGATGACAAAAGTTCTGAACATTTCCAGCATTTGGGATGATACATTATTTTTCCAAACAAAGAGTTTAAGACAGAATCTTATCTTTCTGAGTTGAAGGGGGCGTTTATACTCTATCACCAGATAATTTCAAGTATATTTTTATAAAGTGCCAGGTACAGTTGCCAAGACACTTCAGATTTAGCAAGTAGCAAAGCAAAACTGAGGTTTTCTCTTCTCCTATTTGTTTTCTTTTTAGTTTAAATTTACTTTCTATTTAAGAAATTAACATACAGAGCATTAGATATCACTATGACATTTTCAAACAGGGTGTGTTTTGAATTGCCCTCCCTTAATCTCTCTCCCTACATCCCATTATGACATAACCAATGTTAGTTGCCCTCACTAGCACAGCTCCCTAAAGTTAAATCTGCCTGTATTAATTATTCTTATTTGTAGGTTTAACTGGATAGGGCAGCTGAATATTTTCCTGCCGCCTTTAACATATTCTGTTAACACAGAAACAAGGACTGTTCATAGATTTCAGTGTTATGGTGTTTGAAGGAACATAGTTGAGTTTGATAAGCCCTTCAAATTCAGGTAATTAAATGGAAAAATGTCAGTGATACCAAGCCTTGTAACTATAGTTTAAAAAAAAAAAGTTTGTCAGGATTTTCTTTCTTTTTGGCTCCCCTCCCCAAGACTGGTTGTTTTGGCTTTGTTAGTATGCCTTCTAAATTCACCCATGAACACATTTCAGTGGACAAAGAGCCACAAATAGATGTAGTGGCTATTGATTTTCTTCTGGGGCTACCACCTGATTTCTATACAACCCTGGAGAGCACATGTCAATTTCCATATGTATTTAACTCCTCTTTCTGCTCTTACTGTCCTGCAGAATCATAAATTAAGATAATCCTGCAATCTATTATTTATCAAAGGCTAGTGGTTGACCTGTGTCTTAGTCACAGCATAAGAAAGATGGGCTACAACTAGGTGAGGTTTAACTTCACAGTTCTGGGTGCTGGATATCTAGTGTACACCCCCATCCCCATAGATGGCCAACATATTCTTGCTGCCTTTTCTCATGTCAGAAGGGGAAGGGAGGTCTCAGGAGGAGCTTTTAAAAAAGCAATAGTCTCATTTGTGACCAAATCAATCCCAAAGACCTTACCTCTACATATTCTTAACAATGGAAAGGACATAAGCTCTCTGTACCAGGTTGATTGGCCAAAGCAGTCTGGTCTTAGCCAGTGACTAGTCTCCTTGGTATGGTGTCCATACCAGGCTCATCTCACTCTGTCTTCTAGGACCTCCATCCCAGACTTATGTGAGTCCCTCCATCCTGGACCATCGCCTAGTGCTCTTTTCTAGACTCCTGTCTTCTTGAGCATCTCTAAAGTTGGCTCAGTCTCTTATACTTCCATGTGGTGCTTCTGCCTGCATTGTATTCCTGTAAGTTCATGTCTTAGCTGAGGCCTCCCCATCTAGCTAATTGTATTTTGGGTAATTCTTCTTTAAGAGGCCTCTTTGACTCTTCCTCTAGGCTAGAGTAGCTGTGTCCCTTGAGTATTCCTGAAACACCCATATTGATGATAATGGCACGATTATAAAAGCCAGAGGCTAGAAAGATAATAATTGGCATAGTTTGTTTTCTGTGGCTGTTATAAAATAATACCACAATGTTGGTGGTTAATCCAATAAACATAAATCCATCCTTTCACATTTCTTGGGGCAGAAATTAGAAATCAAAGTGGCATCGCTGCCTTGCTTCCTATGATGTGCTGGAAGGTTGTCCATGCTTTGCTTCTTCGGCCTCTGGTGCCTTCATCTTCAGTTTCTGTGCATTGTTCCTTCTGTGCTTTTGGGGTCACCTTACCTCTTTTGTGGCTCATCAATGTGTTTCTTCTGTGATGCGGTAGGGCCTGCATGCATAATCCAGGCAGATCTCTTCCTCTTGAGATCCTTAATTAAGCCTGAAAAGACACATTTTCTAACTCAGGTGATATCCACGGGTTTGAGGGTCAGCATAGAGATGAATTTCTTTGGAGGCCATTTTTTGGCTTACTATCACAGCATCTAGCACATATACACTACAAGGAAAAGAAGCTTTTTACTAATGAGAATGAGAATGAGAATGAGAATGAGAATGAGAATGAGAATGAGAATGAGAATGAGAATGACAACAACTGCCTAAGAGAAACTGGAGCTTGTTTCTGCTAGCTCTTATTAGACTGACATTTTTATGTTAGTGGTCTAACACAGTAATTTCTCCATCAGTGACTTCTCTCCTGACATGTCATTATGCAAGAGAGCCTTGTACAATCCTCATCTCACTCATTTGTTGAGTTTCCCCTCAACCTTACCATCCTCTGCTAACTCTACTTGTTCAGCAGTGGTAACGAAAACATCTAATATTTACCAAGAGCTTACTACCTGCTACCCAGGGCACAATTTCCCTATTGATGCCGCTTCTCTTCTTCCCTTTGACTTTCTATGATGCTAGTGCCTGTTTCACTCTACAATTTAATTATATACTGCTGAATACATTAATTGTAGACTGCCGTGCACCTGCTTTAAAAATTCTTTATAACATTTACTACTTGTGTAGTTTATTCCACTGAGGTAGTACCATGTCTAATCTTCATTAAAGTAATCACCATGGGCTAGGAACTGAGCTAAACATTGAGATTTTCTCTTTGAATCCTCACACTAATTCTTCAATTTGTGGGTTTCTATTGTTCTCACTTCTCACAGAGGAAGAAATTAGAGCTTAGAGTTGTTAAGCTATTTGCCCATGGTCTTTAGGTAATGGAATGAGAATTTGGGTGAAGGACATGAAACTTTGCAGGGCACCTACACACATCTTGTTTAGCATTTGCTGTTGCAGGAAGGTCACATTGGGTAGTCTTTTGAGTCTAGGTGGAGTTAAAATGGTATAAGGCTGTACTTCCCTTTCCCACAGTTGCTTGTTACCGTTTTGCTAAGTTTTTGGATTGAATGAAAGTTTTGTCTTATTTTTTCTTTCTTTTATTCTTCCTTTTTAAATACACTTTAAAATTAAAATATCATTATATTATCCCCTTCCCTTTATTTTCCCTAATCTCACACTCTTTAGCCTTTTTCTCAAGTCTATGGCTATTGTCTTTGATTATTATATATATATATATATATATATATATATATATATATATATATATATATATTCACAAATATGTAAACACAACCCACCAGGTCCAGTTTCAGTGTTTGTGTGTATATGATTTTTTGGGATGACCACTTCATATTGGATAACCAATTAGGGGGCTCATCCCTGGAAGGGTTTAATTCTCCCTTGCTCAGCAATCATTATTGTCTGTAGTTCTTTGTCTAGGGGTGGGGTATTGAGAGATTATGTTCCCCTCTTCCCCATTAGTATGTGTGGTAGTTTGGATAATAATGGTCCCCAAAAGCAGAGCATAGTGGTGCACACCTTCCTTTAGTCCCAGCACTCTGGAGGCAGAGGCAGGTAGATATCTGAGTTTGAGGCCGCTCTGGTCTACAGAGCTATTTCTAGGACAGCCAGGGCTATATGGAGAAACTGTCTTAAAAAACCAACCAGCCAACCAACCAAACAAATAACCAAAAAAGAATGGCCCCTATAGTCTCGTATATTTTTTTCATATATTTGATTGCTTAGTTACTAGGTAGTGGAACTATTTGAAAAGACTAAAAGGATTAGATTAGGAGGTAAGGCCTTAGTGGAGTAGGTGTGACCTTGTTGGAGGAAGTGTGTCACTGGGAGTGGCCATTAATGTTTCAGAAGCCCAAGTCAAGACTAGTCTCTCTCTCTGCCTGTATATCAGGATGTAACCTTCAGCTTCTGCTCCAGCACCTGCCTGTGAGCTGCCATGCTCCCAACCATGCTGATAACAGACTAACCCTTTAAAACTGTAAACAAGTTCCCCAATTAATGTGTTTGCTTATAAGAGTTGCAATGGTTATGATTCCTCTTCACAGCAATAGAACAGTGACTAAGACAACGTGTACACACATATTGTCATTGTTCAGGTTTTGTTTGGATAGGCATTTCTAGGAGACATAATCTTATAGCAGATTTCCGGGTAGCCTGGCTCTTAACATCTTCCAGCTCCACTCTCCCGTGATGTTTCCTGAACCATGGCCACACACAGGAGCTACGTTACAGACATATCTGTTGGGCCAGAGCTCGTCACTATCCATCGATCTCTGCCTCGTGTCCAGTTGTGTATTTCGGAAATCGTCTTATTTCTAACGTATTGCATGATCTCAATGATTCCGTAGGACTGGCAAGACGGCTCAACAGGTGAAGGTTCTTGCCACCAAGTCTGACAACTTGAGTTCAATACCCAGGGTCCACAGGGTGAAAGAACTCACCCCTTCTGGTTGTTCTCTGATCTCCGTGTGTGTGTGTGTGTGTGTGTGTGTGTGTGTGTGTGTGTGTGTGTGTGTGTGGTGTCTCACATGTGCACCTACACACAAATACAGATGTACAATAAGAAAAGATGCTTTAAAAACAAGTAATTTTGTAGCTATTAGTTCTATTCTGCTCCCAAACAAGACATTTACTCTAACACCCTTTGCAGTGCAAAATGCATATGGCAAGGGGAGAGGCCCAAATGAACACAAACTACTCCCTCGTCTTACCACCGCTCCCACCTTTAAAAGATGCTCTTTAAAAGACTACAAAGGGAGTCAAAGAAAGCAGCACAAACAATTTTTCTTCTTGAAAATATAGAGTTCATAAGATGGCATCGAGCTGCATATCTTTGGTTGGGGACTTAGAATGGAAAGAAATGTAGACTAATCCTGTGACCAAGCTGTGAGTGGGAAGGGAGAAACACATGGTTGTTTAAGAGTTTCTGGGACTCCTTTGCGCTCTGTTCTCCAACAATGGAAGTTCGAACCATGCTCTCTTGCCATTCATTTCCTTTCCCCAAAGGAAAGCAGATGTTAAGATGAAAGAAATCTAATGCCTGCACCACCCTTAGACAGCTGATATGCAGTTTGCATTTGCTGGAATGGGAAAAAGAAAAAAAAAGTAACCAAGTTCAGAAAGACATCATTCTGCTCTTTCTGACTGTGATTTTGGCTTAATTTGTTAATATTCATTTGATTACTTGGGGACAACTAAGCTTCTTTGCATTTACCTTTAATGAACAGGTTTACAATATCCCTCTGTCCTAATGACAAAATCTCTAATTATTATATTAAAGAGCATTAAAATTTCCATTTGAATTAACAATCCAACTTGGCAGATTAAATAATAAAATACACTCATGGTGTTATAAAAAGGTTTACTATGTCTTATAGGCCTCTGGAATAGAATACATTTGCTTACAGCATTCATTTAGTTTTAAACAGCTAAGGTGACAATGGTTCACTTTCATTTATGACAACTTACCTATTAGTACAATCTCCTTCTAGAATTTTATAGCTTTATTGAGTCATAAAAACTTTATGATGAGGCTACTGTTTCAATGCCCAGGAAGATGATTAGGAAATTAAGAATGAAATTATGTGTGTTCCCAAAGTCATAATCTACTGAAGGACACAGGCAGGGTGGGACCCCAGCACTTAAGTACACTGGCAAGTGCACTGTCTTCTCCAGCAGTACCTGACAACCTGGGCCCTTTCTGAGTAAGCAGTCTCTATAGAAAGCAAGGGAACAGTTGGGTTCTCTCCTAGAAAGTAGCAATGGTGAAGAAATGCTGTCACTCTTCAGAGCCATCCTGAACTAGTGCATTTCCAGACAAGACTCACCTACATCCTTTGTTAGCCCACAAATTCCTAAGTGGCTTTGTATGCCTCTAGGAGTCTTCTAGCCTCCTTTGTTTTCTTTCATGCTTTCTCATTAGCAAGTGAGCATCTCTATTGCAGGGATCTAGAGAAAATATTCCCCTCGTCTGGCACAATCTCTTTCAGGTTTGCTCCCGTAACTTACATAGGACTGGGCTTTCTTTTTTCCTTTTTTTTTAATTTAAAAGTTTTTTTTTTCCACTTTCCATACTAACCACAGTTTCCCCCCATCCCCAATCCATTTCTCAGAGAAGGTAAGGCCCACCCATGAGGAGTCAACAAAGTCTGGCATATCAAGCTGAGGTAGGACCAAGCCCCTCACCCCTGTATCAAGGCTGATCAAGGTATTCCTCCACAGGGATTGGGCTCTAAAAAGTCAGTTCATGTCCTAGGAATAGGACAAATAGGCAGTTCATGTCCCACTGCCAGTTCCTCCTCTCTCTCTTGGACTGGACTCTGGGAGCTCCACCCAGTGCTTAGCTGTGGATCTCTGCTTCTGCTTCCATCAGTTACTGGATGAAGGTTCCATGATAACAATTTGGGTAGTTATTGATCTGATTACAGGGGAAGGACAATTCAGGGTCTCTCTCCACTATTGCTTAGAGTCTTAGCTGGGCTCATCCTTGTGGGCTCCTGGGAATTTCCCTAGCACTAGGTTTCTCCCTAACTTCATAATAGCTCCCTCTTTCAAGAAATCTTTCCTTGCTCTCCCTTTCCGTCCCTCTCCCAACTCGACCATCCCATTCTCTCATGTTCTCTTCCTAACCTTCCCTTACCTCCCTCCCCCAGGCTCCCAATTTACTCAGGAGATCTTATCTATTTCCTCTTCTTAGGGGAATCCATGCATGTCGCTCTTAGGATCCTCCTTGTTACTTAGCTTCTCTGGGATTGTGAACTGTAGCCTAGGACCAGGCTTTCTTGTTGTAGTAACTTTTCCATGTTCAGGGAAGGTTCCCTGGAGGCCTGTGCTGAAACCCAGTGGTGAGCTTGGTTCCTAAACTTGTGTTATGAGTGCTTGTGCATGGGAAGTACCATAAGGATGTGACTTGGAGTCTTTTGGTGCTGGCTTTGTCGTTGGACTGCTTGCTTATTTCTGTAAAGGAATGAATGATTAATGGAAAGTATGTGTGTATCAGGTAAAATATACTAGGTACACTGGTTTGTTAGTCTTCTGTGTGTGTTTTTGCGTGTATTTTGGAGAGAGGGTGGGTAGGCATGTGCAGGTCGGTGAAAGTGTCAATGTTAAAGGGTGAAGGGTACCTTTACACCCTTCCATGGATGTGCTTGTGGAGGCCAAGGGGAGAAGTCATATGTCCTCTTCTTACTCATCACCTTATTATATTTTAGATAGGATCTCTCCCTGAGCCCAATGCTCATTGGTTTTGCTAGATTGGCAGCCAGGGACTGCTTCTCATTCCAGGATTCTTCTCTTTTAATCCCTCAGTCCACGCTCTAGCACTGGTCTGTAGTACTCTGCATACAGAACTGGCTTCTTCCATGAGTGCTGGGTAGACAAGCTGAGTTCCTCATCACTCTTAACCTCCTGTGGGAGCTCTTTAACACCAGCATTTTGAACTTTAATCAGCTGGGAACCTGTAAACACTAGGCAGAGAACAGTGCACATTTGTGCTTGTGAGACTCACTCTGAAAAGTTAGAATGTTGCTCATAAGCTCCCCCTTATGTGTATGCCTGTCATTCAAAAGCCTTTACCTTTCACCTTTTACTGTGTGTATGTTCTTACCTTATGTACAGATGCCATTTTCAAATTTGACTGGAAAGGATAGGATTTCTATTCTGACAGATTTAGAAATAAATTGTTATTTACATATACTAAATATTTAAAAAATTCTCAGGAATTAAAGAAATGAAATTACTAAGATTGTTAGTATGTTAAAATTTGAAGTTATCCTTAGAGAGACCAACTCACATATAGATTTCAAGTTCACATAATTTAGGCAAATAGTTGGCAAATAAGATTTTAAAGTTTTAATTTAATAGGAACAGCTGTCTTCTCTGACTTGCATTAAATATAACACCAATATACCTTTATTATTTTTGCATATGTGTTTTCTAAATGTACATAGGTTTACTGGTAAATATGGTAATATTTCATCTTAGTGTTGAAGATATGAAAATTGTACATTATATTTAAAAATCAGACCATTATTTCAAAATACTTATTTCATAAGTAGTTATATTCTTTAGTATGCTAACTAAAAGGCAATTTCTAAGATCTTTAGGAGGCAAACCTTAGACTGATATTAAATAGTCACTTATTAGATATAGATTAGATTCAAGTAACAGAATATTGAATAGTATTTTTGTATCACAGTTTTACATTTATATACTTTTGCTTTTTACCCTCATGTGCTATAGGCAGACTATATGCTTGGGCCTTGAAGTAGTTACATTCATTGTTGTGAGCAAATACCTGACCAGTAAGAAAAGGTTTATTTTAACCCACAGTTCGAGGGTACAGTCAGCACAGCTGGAAAGGCATGGTTGTCAGGGTGACTCTCAGCAGCTACATGATGCTCACACCTGAGCAGATCAGGCCTCAGCTGTAGATCCCAGAACATGGATTGTGATGCCATATGCAGGGTGGGTATTGTCTCTATGGAAAGACACAGGTACAGATGGAGAGGTGTTTCACTGATTCCATAATCTAAATAGGTTGACAATAATATATAACTATCCTAGCTTATTAGTGAATGTGTTCATATTTGCTGGTTTGAGGAATTATGTTCTCTGGAAAGTATATAACAAATTTGTTGCATAAGAACTTCATCTGCCATGGATAATGCTCGTTAAAGTTAAGCACTTTATTGTCAAATACTATATCACTCTATAGCTAGAATTTAGACTTGTCCTCTGTTAAAGTGATGTCATGTTTAGATTACTGACTTGGTTCTTAGGGTTGTTTTTATGGTGACTTTAGTATGTCTTTATTACCACTTAGGCTGCAGAGGCAAGCATGACTGTGCACAGCATCACCAAGAGTATCTATCTACACACTAGCTGGGGAGCTTCAGTGCCCTTAAACAAGGGTGTTGTATAATGGAAGATTTCTGAATTGCACAATGCATCAAACTAGTTGCACTGAGTTTAGCAGCTGACTCTTGTAGACTTCTATGTGAGTATTTGTCTTTGTCATACTCGGCATCCATCTTTTATATGGAGCTCTGAATCAATAATCTCTGTTATGACCTTTCGTGTGTGTGTGTGTGTGTGTGTGTGTGTGTGTGTGTGTGTGTGTGTGGTGTGCATGTAAGTACAGATGTGCACATGCTACAGAATGTGTAGTGAGGTCAAAGGTCAACTTTAAGTGTCAGGCCTCAGCTTGCACCTTTCTTAAAATACAAGGTCTTTACTCTTGTTCACTGTTGTATATTCTAGGCTATCTGGCCCTGGGATTCTCTTGTACCAGTTTTACAACTCCTTACAAGAGTGTTCTGGGATTAAAAACATGCACACTACCACATCTGGCTTTTTATGGGGGTTTGAGGACATGAATCCAGGTAGTCAAGTTTGCACAGAAAGAGCATTATCCAGAGAGCCATCTCTCCAGCCCTGCTATGACCTTTCAACAGATGGCTCAATGAGTTTTAAAGAAATAATGACAACAAAAATCACTCAGAATATCTTTAATCATTCTTCACCCAACATAGGAACCCAAACACCCAGCTTATCCTTGCATGTTCTAAGATTCGTTCCCATACTTTCCCAGCTTATAACCATAGTGAGATCCTTATCACTTTCTATATAAACTTAGGTCCCTCACCATTTCTTTGAGACTTTCATTATTCATTAATGAATATTCTCTATATAATTTAAATAAAATAATTTCAATTGTCAGATACATTTGTTTCTCATTTTTTTTTTGTTTCATTTTTTTTTTTTTACTTTTTCTTTTTTTAGGAATTTTTTTTTTTTTTTTCCTTCCCACCCCCGGTTCCCCTTTTCTTGGTTCTTCCCTTTCCTCCGTTTTTCCCCGAACCCTTCCTTTAGTTCTCATAGATTTCTTATAATAGAGCTATAATAATCTACTTTAAAATTTCACTTATTTACTGAGACTGGATCTCACTTGTTGCAATGCTGACCTTATACTCACTGTGTTACTCAGACTAGCTTCAAACTCATGCATGATCCATCTATCTCAGCCTTTCAAGCACTGATAAATAATTTTAGAGATGTCATGACTACACCTGGATCTGTCTATCATTATCCTTTATTAGCATTGAGCACTACTTTTGGAAAATGTAAGAAATTTATGTTGTTTTAATTTATGATTTCTGTCTCATAAGTGATGAGATTTTGGAATTTTATAGTCTGTATTTTTGCTCTGTTGAGCTGTATTTCACCAGAAAGGGCATAAAAGAGTCACATTATTCTTTCCACACATTATGTTCAACAGAGGAAATATCCAGCAAGTTACGCTACAGTAAGTGTATGACTCTATTTTTCTTGACTCCTAAAACCAGAGCCAAAGTCTTTTACTTGATGGATGGGTATTTTTCTGAATAGGAAAATTAATTGCATTGTTAAATAGAAGCACTGTGGCTTTATTGAACAAGTCTGAAGCACATGGCCAGACCACTAGCTGTACATGCATTAGTAATGACAGAAGACCATATAAACAAGAGCATCCTTGAAAAGCACACTAAACACTTTGTTTGAGTCCAGTGGTTCTCAACCTGGGGGTTGAATGACCCTTTCACAGGGGTCACTGCATATCACATTTACATTTTACATTTATTTACATTATGATTTGTAACAGTAGCAATGGAATAATTTTATGGTTAGAGGTCAGTACAACATGAGGAACTGTATTAAAGGGTTGCAGCATTAGGAAGGTTGAGAACCCTTGCAATAAGTCATTCAGTGTTACCAAAAATCATGCTAAATCCTGTGTAAGCTGGCACTAAGTCTTGCTCACTTACTGCCATCTGTTTGCCCTGTAAAGGTTGGTATGACACTGTAACTATGAGTCTCTTGTTCTCTTACATTTCTAAGTCTTTCAGTGCAAATGCTTCAGCTTTCAGCAACCACATTCATGTAGCACGTTCCCAGGGCACAAGAGACATCTTATGTCTAGTTTTTTTCTTTTATACTTTTTCACTGTCGGTGAATGTGAACAAATAAAACACTGAGCAGTCAAGTTATTACTTTGAAGAGTGGCCCTTGCATTTTTGACAATATAATCTAAAATAATGATTGGCATGCTCTGCCTCCCTCTCAGAAATGATTCCCTGGGAGCTTTTAATAATGTATAAGGATATGCACAAGCAACGGGCTTCTAACATAAAAGCCATAGTTCAATATTGTCTTTTAAAGTAACATTAATTTTGAGCCAGTCAATTTTATCACACTGTTATTTAAATGATCTGCCTTAAATAGACTGAATTTAGTATACCTAGTAAAAAACTGCAAAAATACCATGTCTAAAAGCAAACAAACAAACAAACAAAACTCACTGTTGCTTAGAATACTGCATGAACAATTCCCATCTGCAAATGGTTATTTATTGCTTAGTTATTTTTAGATTATTTTTTGGATGCATCTCTCACAATAGCCTCTGGGCACACTTTCAGGGTTTAATAATTAGCTTTCTCAGTATAGATTACACACAACATAGAAGACAACATAAACACAGGATGCCTCCACATACGTCAGTGCAGAATCATGCACAAATAAACAGGTGTACCTTTCATCCAGAGTTGAACAACTCATGGGGTGATGGGCCAATTCCTTAAAGTGGAAGAATCTGTGTTCTTGTCAGTAATAAAGGGCCCACTTCTTCATGCAGGGCAGATGGCTAGTTTCTGGACTGTGCCTTGTGTCTATAACTTTAATGAGGCCACAGTGTTTATGATCTGAACTGGAATTATTAGCTGTGGAAACAGTTGAAAACACAAAGTGCTGCAAAATTTCAGTGTAAGATTCTAAACCACACACCTAGGTGGAATGTGGAAACACTTTCACGTGTGCTGAGTATTACACTCTGGGGATGTGCAAGCCTCAAGCATGGTTCAAGTTCTTTTTGATGGATGGTTATTTGTTCGGTGACATGTTGTTACTATGTAACCTGGGTTGTCCCCAATCTCCTGGTGCTCTCCCTGTCTCAACCTCCTCAGTGCTTGAATTACAGATATGTACCACTGTCACTGTTTTCTCTCTGTTACTATGATGAAACACTGAACAAAACAGGTAGGGAAAGGTAGGTGTTATTCATCCTGCAGGTTACAGTCCATCATGGAGGGAAGCTAAGACAGGAACTCAAGACAAGAACCTGTAGCAGAAGACAGGGGAGGAATGCTACTTACCGGATCACTCACTCTGATTTGCTCAGCTATGTTTCTTATACTGCCAGGCCAATCTTCCTTGGGATGACACTACCAACAGTGGGATGGACTGTCCTACATCAATTAGCAATTAAGAAAACACATCACGGGGATGGAGAGATGGCTTAGAGGTTAAGAACACTGGCTTCTCATCCAGAGGATCCAGCTCACAATGGTCTGTAACTCCATTATAGGGGATCTGGCTCCATCACACAGACATACCTGTAGGCAAAACACCAATGCACAAAAATAATAATAAATAAATTATTAAAAAATAAAATGCCTCAGGCCAGTCTGATGTAGGCAATTCCTCAATTTTAGCTCCATTTTCCCAAGTGACTTCAGTTGGTAGCTGAAGCTAGTTTTGATTGCCACCAGGCCTGTCCTAAGATCTTGAAAAAAAAATCAATGTACTGAACTTGGGGTGGCCTCTCATGTTGGTTAATCATAATTTTCAATTTGACTGGATTTAGATTCAGTATGGAAACATACCTCTTGGTATGTCTGTGGGTTTTAACTGAAGAAAGAATACCATTCTGCATGCTGAAATCTTGGACTGAATGGAAAGGAGAAAGTGAACGGAGTCTCCATATCCATCCCTCTGCTTTCTGACTGAGGTTTTAATGTGCCCACCTGCCTGTGGTTCTGCCTCTATGTCTTCCTTGACTGTGCCCTCAAACTGTGAGCCAAAAGCAACCCTTTATTCTTTGAGTTACTTTGGCAAGATATTCTATCAAAGCATGGAGAAAACTAACCAGAGTATTTCTGTTGAGAAAACACCATCCCCTCTATATCCCTGAATTGCCCCTCTAAATGTGTAGCCCCATTCCTCGTCATTTGTTTCTCTACATGGTTCTCATCATAACAGTTCTTATTGTCTAAAGTTATCTCACTTATTTCAGAGGAAGACTTACCCTTCTTTTATATTAATGTTCAGTACTTACTGATAAAATATATGTAGTCAATGCATATACTCAAAATTTTGATAATTGAATGGATGAACATGAACAACTTTGTGAATACTCAAACTAATCTCATATCAAGCTAGCTTACCAAAAAAGTGTTCCATAATTCCAAATTGATTTTGGATGAATTTTAGGCTGTGGAGGCATAATCAAATTTGGGGGCCCTGTTATCAATAGATTGATTACAAACCCTTCTCTCAATTTCTTTAAAGAGAATCTGTACAAAAGAACCTCCTCTAAAGAGTTTATTGCTGAGTTTAAAATGTCACAGCAAAATTTCATTCTTTTCTTGGTTCACAGGTGGCTTCCATCTTGTGTGTGTTCACATGACTTTTCTTTGTGTCTCCTGAAGAAGTTTCCTTCTAATGGGAGCTCTTGTCATCATGTAGGCTATACCCCCGTGATCGCATCCAACTCCAACACCCCATAATAGTCCCATATGATGTGAGGACCATTATCTTTTCAGTCCAAGCTTCAGCATACAGATTTAAGAGAAAAGAGGATATATTCAGTCTAGGCAGTCTGTGGCAGACACTTATTGCCTTAAAATACTGTGCCTTCTAAACATGTTGCACCGTTATGCTCCTAGAACACTTTGTCATACATTCTCTTATATGACTCACACTCATGATCTTTTGGAATAGTACTGAGATGCTGATTTTCCCAGTATTACAAATGAGGAAACCGAGGCTCATGACATCCAGAGCCAGAGGAAAAATTGTGCTGTCCAGTTCTGGCCTTTAGTCCGGCCCATGAAGCTATTGAGAAGTAATTCCTTTGGTTTATGTTTAATTTTTTCCAGGCACCATTATGAATCATTAGAATTTCACTGTAAGTTTAGAAGTACACCCCAAGTTCAAGTATATATATGAATCCAGATAGGAGCTCTTTCTAAAAACCATACAGGTGGGTCCAAGTTTTTGTCCTCAAAAAGCAACCCAATGTTGTTCTATACAAAGTCATGATAGAAAACATTAAAATTGAGTTACAAATAAAAGAAAGAAAAAAGGATGGAAAAAAGGAAAAAGTCATAAATTTTCTTATGCTTTATGTAAGTTTACTATATTGTATTATGTATGATCCATTCCTATCCTTGGCCACATACAGTCCATCAGCTGTGGTAGGACACACCTGAGAGGAACTAAGAAGCATGTGCCCCTGCATGTGACCTTTGGCAATGTCAGTCCATGTTCTCCATGCTTATTTGGAACAGTAACTGAGGTTGTGAGGCAGCCTGAGAAATAATTGGTGTGGCTTCATGTGTGTACAAAAACTGGCCAAGGATTGTTATTCTCTGTTGTTGTGGAATAATCTTTCTGTACACTGTGAAGATGTGTCTTTGCCAAGGCACCTTCTGATTGCTTTAATAAAGAGCTGAATGTCCAATAGCTAGGCAGGGAGAGATTAGGCAGGACTTACGAGCAGAGAGAGAAGAGGAGATGAATTTAGGCAAGAGAGATGTCAGTGGACATGGAGAGAATATAGGAGGTACAAGATGGAAGAGAGGTAAAAAGCCACAAGACAAAATGTAGATTAATATAAATGGGTTAATTTAAGTTATAAGAGCTACTGGGACAAGCCTAACCTCTAGGCTGAGCTTTCATAAGTAATAATATATCTCCGTGTCATTTTTTTTTGTGAGCTGATAGCCTCCCTAAAATCTGTCTACATTCTGCAGTCAAGGACAAGAAACTGTCAGCTAGCCTCCTTATCACAGTCATAATTTCAACCTTTTTTGTTTTTATTTTTCTTTTGAGACATATCTGTTAGCTAACTCTCATAACTGTGTTTTTACCTTCAACCAAAAGTGGAAAAAGTAAGTAGAAGAAATAATGTTGATTATATTAATTTAATATTTTATTTATTCATTTTATTTACGTGTATGTGCCTGTGTGAGAATATGCCATGTGTGTGCAGGTGCTTATGGAAACCAGGAAGGCTATTGGATAATACTTGCAGCAGGAGTTACAAATGGTTGTGAGTCACCCAACATACCTGTTGGGAACCAAACTTGGGTCCTCTGGAAAAGCAGGAATTAGTTTTAATTATTGACCTATCTCTTCATCTCATAAATATTTTATTTATTTAGTTATTTTACGTTTGTGGGTATGTGGCTATGTGCACATGAATGCAGGGATCTGTAGAGGCCAGAAGAGGTCATCAGATTCCTGTAACCAGAGTTACAGTGATTGTGAGATGCTAGACATGGATGCTAGGAACTGAACGTGGATCCCCAAAAGAGTAGTAAGTGCTCTTAAAGACAGAGCATCATCTCAAGCCCAATAGCTAGATTTCTTTTTATTTTGTGAGTATGAGTGTTTCACCTGTATATATGTATGTGCACTATGTGGGTGACAGGTGCTCACAGAGGCCAGGAAATGGTTTCAGACCCTCTGAAATTGAAGTTAAAGATGCTTGTGAGCCAACATGTAGGTCCTGGGAACTGCATCTTGGTCCTCTGCAAGAGCGTCAGATGCTATCTTCTGAACCATCTCTCCAAACCTGGTTAGATTTTAAAACTGATCCTTGCCCATTAGAAATATCTTCCTTCCGTCTTTGTCACAGCATCTTTTCTACAGTAATGGTTCTTGTTTTGCAAAGCACATCCTGGGCTAGGTGTTTCTAATGTGTCCAAATTGGAAAGAATATGGGCCTACTGAAGGAGCAACAGTCAAGGGTGCATTGGTGTTAGCAGCCAGGAAACAGAACACGAATATCTTAGGCTACAGAACAGTGATGTTCTATAAGAACTGGTGATGCCTGTCCTCAGAGGCTGAATGCCAACTAAAATCAAAACAGGGGTAGTAGGGAGAGTTCAACTTTTAACAGAAGGAGACCCAGCCTAATATCAGTGACCATCTTTAAAGGGTCCTTAAGAGAGTTTGGAATTCATTTTTCACAAGCTCTATACTGTACTCTAGGATTTTTAAAATTGCAAAGGCCCACATGTGGGTGTCTGTGAAAAACTCTTTGATACAAACTATGAGTATTTGCCCCAGGGATATGGTGGTAGTAGTGTCTGTAAAACTGACATACTATCTCTTACCTCATCTTGCCTCAGTCCATCCCTGACTCAAGTTTGTTTCTGCTTGAGGCATGATAATTAAGCCAGAGCAGGGTGAATTTTTTTCCTCCACCAACATCTGCTTCATCTTCAACAAGTCCCACCACTGCCTTATTTCTTAGTCACCTAAAAAGAAAACAGAACAAGGAGATAAAAAGGATGATTCAATTTTACCCTTTTATAGTATCTTTAGCAGAGTGGATTTCAACTGCAGTGGTGCATAACTGTTAATGTGGATGGCATTAGAGAATGAGATACTTGAACTCATTGGGCTATCTTCTGAATAGCTTATGATTAGAGATCTATGCCTGCTTTGATTTAAGGTTCTGCCTGTTTCATTTCATCCACTTGACTTCTAAGATGTATTCATAGGTGGAGGAGAGAGGTGTCATCACAGCCAGGAGATACTGTAAGTCATCCTATTTAGTCACTACAAAGTTGCTAACTTGGTTTTGAGCAGGGATATGCACTCTACACATGTGCCGTGTGTGTGTGTGTGTGTGTGTGTGTGTGTGTGTGTGTGTGTGTGTGTGTGGAGTTAAAAAGGGTCAGGAATCCCATCCTGAAATGCTTTCTCATAGTCCTTAGTTTGAGTATGGTATACTCTGGTGGTTTGAATAAGGATGCCCCCTAGAAGACTGTATGTTTGGATAACTGGTTGCCAGTTGGTGGCACTGTTTGGGAAGGGTTAAGAGGTGTGGCCTTGTTGGAGGAGATGTGTCACCGAGGTGGAGTTTGAGAGTTTAAAAGCCCATGACATTCTCTGCCTTGTGATTGTAGACCAGATGTAAGCTTTCAGCTACTGCTTCTGCATCTGTTTGTCTGCTGCTGTGCTCCCTGCCATGATGGCCATAGACTCACCATCTGCAATTCCAAGTCCCAAAACTCTTTCTTCTGTAAGTTGCCTTGGTTATATAGTCTTCACAGCAACAGGACAGTAACTAAGACCAAACCAATTTCGCTCTATCACCACTGTGTCTAGAAATACTTTGGAGGAGAAGAAACTCATTTCTTCATGCTATATCCTCCCTCTTCTGATGTTTGCTTATTCTCTCACACATCATTCTTTTCTGATGAGCCTTTGGCGTGGACCCACTTCTGCCCAAGAACCTTTCCTTGTAATCTCCATTGGACATCTATTCTCTCTGTCTCTTGTGTGACTTCTGTCAGCTTTACTGCATTAGTAGGTTGATTCTTGTCTCTCACCTATGGATGACCAGCTTTCACCCAGAGCAGGTGGCAATGTCTTCTTCTCTGTGCTGTCTGGCAAGTGCCGTGATCAAGGTCACTGAGTTGAATGGTCTCTCTTTCTCTACTGTGGTCTGAATACTTGTGTCCATCCCAGATTCTAAAATTGGGATTGTAATCCCTGATAGAATGGTATTAGGAGATGTTTGTACTATTATTCCAGGAAATCTCTTGAGAATCCATTAGTGCCCTTATAAAAGAAGCCCTGTAGAGCTAGCTTACCACCTCTACCGTGTGGGGACTTAGTTAGAAGGAGCCTTTGTGAACCTTGAGATCGATATTTAGTAAATACAGATATTGCCAGCATCATGTTCTTGGGTTTCTTAGCTTGCAGTATTGTGAGAAATAAATTCTGTTGTTGTAAGTCACTAAGTCTACAGTATTTTGTTACAGAAACTGAAATGGACTGTAGTCAGAAATAAATGTGCCTTTCTGCAATCTTAAGACCTGAGTAGCATAGAAGATATAATAGAATGGGAAGTGAGGATGAGGAACCATTGGGAAGCCCAACTATGAGCAACGCCTAGCAGAGTGGCTCATTTGGATTGAGAGTAGTGGTCTGTCCAGAGGATCTTTACCTATGAATCTGGAGGGGGTGGCATGAAAACAAGTTCCCTGATTTTATCTCGTCTTTACATCATATCAGAACTTAAAAACTGGAGCTCTGAGGATCTGGAATTAGAAGGTATAAAAGTATTGATCTCCAGTTTGTGTTTCCCCAGCATACCTAGTTGACTTCCTGCAGTGATGGAAAGCTCTTTCCTGATCCACAGCCTGGGCCAGATACAGTGTTCATTTCTGAAGACACAACACATTCTCAGGAAGTGTCACAGGGTTGTTGAAGAGGCGATGAGGGCTAAACTGAACATCGCTGTTCAGTTGGGACCAGTACACACTAGTCAAGGAGAACAGAAGAATATTTGTACCACGAATAGGAGGCTTCAAAGCCAAGGATAAATTATTTGAGGTAATAGGTAAGTGTGGTGTGGACATGGGGAAGCTTCTGGAGTTTTGACTAGGTGATGATTAAGAAAGGCAAGAACACTTTTCTAAAGAAAAGAGAGTTTTAGGACTTAGTCAAAGCAAATATTTTATCAGTCATAAAAAAGTAAAGGAAAATAAAAGTCTTTCTGCTCAACATGTGTGTTTCTAAAGAGTTCCTAAGAGTGTGAGGGAGAGAAATGTAATTGTTATTTTATTAAAAAATTACTTAAGTGGGCAAAGTGGAGTGTATGTGTGTGCACGCCTGTGTCTGCACGTGTGTGTCTGCACGTGTGTGTGTGTGTGTGTGCGCGCGTGCGTGTGCCTGTGTCTGCTGGAATGGGGGCAGAGAGCTAAAAAGGGTAGTATATATGTGGGCATGCAAATGTCTGTATGTGTGTGTGCTGGAATGGGGCCAGAGGGCTGAGAGAGGGACATCTCATCTTCACAGATAGTCTCATCTTAACCCATCAGTTCCACCTGCTAGTGCTCCCTACCTCACCACAAGGAGCCAATTATTTTCCATAATAGCCACTCTAACTCTCACAAGTCTTTAGACTTTCTCCTTTTCTTGAAAGTCCTTGCTGGTTCCCTTTAGAATGGATGCTGTTAGGTTCTCTGTATCCCAGACACAGCATTTTCATATCTGCATCACAGCATGAGGTGTCTTGCTTCATCACCAGCCTGTGAATCTCTGATGGCTATTAGCTTACATGGGGATGTGGGCATAGACTGTGCAACATTGCTGTCACTGAGTATAGACTCCACCCACACTGGGAAGTCACACATATAAGGCCTAGTTCTGCTACTATGTCAAAAGTTAGACATCTTTAGCCAAGTTATATAACCCATGTAACTCTCAATTTCCTGATGCAATAGTACCTGCCATACAAAGTGTTTAGTCATGCTTCTTAAACAAGACAGTGTACATGCAGAGAAGTTGGAACATAGTCAGTGATGGGTTGGTCACTCAATGACTATTACATGTCATGACCAAGTATTCAAGAAATACTCATTCAATACCCCGAATGAGTACCTTCATCAGGATGGCTTTTATTCAGCTGTGTTATTGCTACAATTTAGTAGTTGCTCCTCCTGACAGCTAAGAAATAAAGATGTTTATAAAGATTTCAAGCATTTAAATGTTCAAAATTCTCTGGTCCATAATAACAACAAATAGCCAATGACATATAGAAGCACAATTTGCAAAATTTCCATGTGATCCAATTAAGACATCTAAGCTTCATTAGAACCTTTATCTTTAGTACATTATTCAATCTTGTCTTTCACCTCCCTGGAAGCATTCCATAGTTGCTGTGGATTGATCTCGCAAATTGCTTTTAGAACCTGGTCCCAGGATCTTATACTGTATGCCCTCAGCCCTGATTCTATTTCCCCAAGAAACATTCTTCTGATGGTCCAACACTAAGTTCTTCATCAATTGTTTCTGGCACCTGTGAGACTGCACAGTGACCTAGCCTATTTTGGAAGTGAACATGATCGCTTTCAGTTTTGGAGAAATCAGCCCTTCTGTTTGCTGGAATGAGCTCCAGTACGGAACGAGTTGGAACATCCAGGTTCTCCAGAGCTGCCTGGGGGTACTTGTCTCTGGTCCTCCACCTACGACCAAAGTAGAGTGGGGGTGGTGGTGGAGGGTGTTCCCAGGTAAATTTATTCATGCCAAAATCTCACAGGGCATTGACTGGGAGAAGTTAGAGAAACCAGATCCTGCACCAGGTTTTTATTTGTTTGTTTTTTCCCTATCACTAATTCCAATTCAGGACTCCCCCCACCTCACCCCCCCCATTATTTAAAAAATTAAACAAGTACAGCAGTCTTCCAGGTGTCTTTCTCTGCATCAGCGGTGACGAGGTGAGTGCAGTGCACACAGCATATCTATAATTCAGCTCAGGAATATTTCCCTTAATAATTAATTGGGAATCACAAAAGAAGGAAGCCCAATAGGGCCCACAAACAAAGCTGCCTGTAAGTATGGCAACCCAGGTGCCAACTGAGCAACCCAGGTCAGATCTGCTCCAGTAGTTGGAGCTGGGTACCATAGTGCTTGCTGGATCCATCAGGGTTGCTGAGGAAGATGCCCTGGGACCTGAACCTGATCTTCCTCTCTCCCCTCACTCCCCTCCCCCTCAGCTAACCTTTCTTTTCTGGGGATTATTCAAAATTGCACACCCACATCTATGTCCCAGAGACATTTCACAAACTAACCACCCAGGAAACCGTCTAAAGTTCATTTGGGATGTGGTTGCCTTTTTTGGGACACACTTCCCTGCCTGAGGGGCTTGGTAATGAGGAATACTTTTTTTTTTTAAAAAAGTAGGTGGATGGCAGTAAAGATAGGGACACGAATATAAAGTCTCCCCAACGCCCCCACATGGAGCCTCTGGTTAAGACTCAGGTATTTTCGCAGCAGCAGTTTCACAGAGGTGACCGTCACCTCAGCCTTCCAAAGTCTCCAGCCTAGGCCATTTTGCAGTTTGCTCAAAACCCTCCGACCACCTCCTGTTGCGACTTATGCTTCTGGTGCAAAGTAACCTTCACCCAGAGTCACTCTCCAGATTGGACCACTCACACTCTAATACATGGTCTTATACATGGGTCAAGTTGATCTCTCTCCCAGCCTGGGAGGCCCAACCCAGGAGCTGAGGCTGCAGGCTCTGGTGTTCTAGGAAGACTGAAACTATGGCTGGGGTGCACTCACAGGGGGAAACAGGGGTTCCCGGACCTTCAGTCTCGCCAGAGATGCACCTGAGCCCTACCCCTGCACATTCTGGAAGAAAACAGAGGACCAGTGCCAGGGGAGATGAAGAAAGATCAGGGCAGGGAGGGAAGCCGCCCCAAGATATCCACCCCATTTTCTGGACTGCATTTCCCATCGAAGTCCCTCTCCCAATCTCTCTAGTGGCACCTGTACTGTGGCGTGGACTTCTATTCCAGCTCCTGCGGGACACATCTGTCTCCAGGATTTGCTCCTCGCTTGGGGGTGATAGTCAAGTGCTCCCGGGACGGTTTCCAGAAGCTAAGCAGTCGTGGGGGCTGGGCCGACGGGTGGGGTCGCAGCGTCGTGACTGTGCCCGCCCAGCCACGCGGGGAGGCGCCCCGGGTGACAGCCCCAAAGGCCACACCCTCGGCCCGGCCTGGCCCCGCCCCCGCCCGTGCGCGCTGGCAGCTAGGGGAGGCGTGTGCTGCTCCTGCAGCCAGCTAGAGAGCGAGACTGGGATGAATACTGGAGAAGGAATCCAGGCTTAACAAGTGATCGCTGCTGTCTAGGATTTTGAGTCTTTTTCGGGGGAACCTTGACTTCCGTTCCCAGCCCAGGTCTGCTGTGCCGAACTCCAGAGGAACCAAGAATCTCCGGGGTCTACCTTGGGGCGTCCCTAATCCCCACCTCTGGGCTCCAGTAACGAGGACTCTGTGACACCCCCCACCCCCTACCCCGGCCAAGGCGACAGAACTTGTTCCGTGGATATTTGGGAGCCTCCACCTGCCAAATCCGAGTGATTTCTTGTACTGCGCCCCCAACCCCCATGATTCTGCCCCTCCTCCAGCTGTTGCAGCTTGAGGGGGGAAAACAAATCGCCGGGGGATTTTTCTCTATTTTTATTTTTCTCACTTGCTGGGAACGGTAAGTATGATACCTTTCTTATCTATTCCCCACCCTACTCTTTTGGCTGTTGAGAAACTGTGGACATTTGAGGAATAAATAATATCGAGAATGTGACAGAAGGACATGAATGGAAGGCGGTTAAAAATAAACCAGGAGGTGGGAGAAGGGAGGTGCAGATGCAACGCGGCGCTCTGGGGGCAACCCAGGGGATGGGGCGAGTGCGCCCCGCTTAATGTGCCTGAGCGGGAACCCAGGTCTGGAGGCCAGGGCGCAATTAAAGATGTCGTTCCCCAGTGAGGTGGGGTTTAGATTCAGCATCGTTTTCGTTTTGCCTGATCCCAGCCTCACCGTTCCTCTCCTTTGCGAACAGCTGATGAGCGGGTCTGTATTGCTGCCTCTCCCAACATTAGGATGGCATGCATTTTCAGAGTGTTTGAGCAGTCCACAGGGACTGGATAAATGGTGTGCAATGAAGTACGTGTTTCTTATGGTGTTGACTTGTCTGATTCTATCACCTTTTTAATTGTTAATTTTGTCCCCTTTCTTTCTGCTCTTCTCTCAGATTTGGTTCAGGTACCACCCTACCACAGTTGCAGAAATTAGCATCTAGAGAGGAAAACAGCCTTGCTGTTGTTGGATAAGAGGAGAAGAGGGATGCTTGGCTGGTGTTTGGGAGTATAGAGACAGGAATAGGTACCTTGCAAAATCCTATTAGTTTAACGGTATTAAGAAAGGAGGAGGAAAACCCCTGCAAAGGTCTCTTGCACAAAGTATGCTTGATTCTCCTAAGAGGAATACCTGGAGAAAGAGAGATTTTAAACCAATTGGGTTTGTTGGAAAAATGGTTTGATGAGCTTATCCTTTCTCTTTTCTTTCTTTCTTTTTCTCTCTTTCCCTTTCTTTCTTTCTTTCTTTCTTTCTTTCTTTCTTTCTTTCTTTCTTTCTTTCTTTCTCTCTCTTTCTTTCCCTTCCCTCCATCTCCCCTTTCCCCATCCCTCCCTCCTTCTCTCCCTTCCTCTCTTCTCCCTTTCCTTCTTTCTGTCTCTCTAGGATAGTGAGGTAACTAGGAGCCAATTAAAAGGAACACAGTTTGCTTTTTGAATGTGGAAGAGTGACTTAGAAAAACAGTAATTAACAAGCCTAAATAAACAAATGAATAAGGAAACATTTGCTGTAGGGCAGAAAGAAGGTGGTTCTAGAGCTGGTAGAGTTAATAGTGAACTAGAAGATCCTCTAATCCACGACCTTTGGGAGAGATGCTTGGGTGGGAGGGGGATCTGTACATTTGTAAATATATGGGCATGTCAGTTACTCAGGACTTTTTAAAGTGATATCTATGCAAACTGTGGATATTGAGAAGTTGAACAAATTCCCAGGCTATTTGGACTGTGCCAATCTTAAGGATGTTGGCTGACATGCCACAGTGAACATACGTAGTCATAGGACAGTTTTATAAGTAAAGTCTTGGAGACCTCTCCATGGTAAACACTTCTGAATGTAAGCTGATGTGATGAGTCAGACAGAGGAGGAGATGTCACCAGGGATAACTTCTGAGGTGTATTTCCTGGATTCTTTTTTTTTTGTCTAATCAAGTGTGTGTGTGTGTGTGTGTGTGTGTGTGTGTGTGTGTGTGTGTGTGTGTGATCTTCTGTTTGCCATTTTCCTGCTTGTCATTTAAGTTATGGGACACCACCAGCAAAGAGCAGCAGGTGCTCAAGGGTAGGATCCTGTTAATGGCTTCACAAAGCCATTGCTCTCATGCTGCCCAAGTGTTTCCAATAATAGAAGCCAGAGGATGCCCTGAATTCTACCTGTTATCAGCCTTCCCAATTCTTTGGGTCACTTTCTGTATTCTTAGAAGTCTTCTTGGAAGAAGCAGGAGGAGACTGGAGTTAGGGGCAGAAGGTTTCTGAACTTCTGGCTGGGGAGATGAATTCAATGGGCTTAGGAGAGCAAAGTAAGAAAAGAGGGCCAGGAGGTGATGGCAGGACAGATTGGGGTCTGCCAAAAATTGTGGGGTGAATTGGAGAATGAGAGAGCAGGATAAGATTAAAAGGGGGTAGAGTGTGCACTCCAAGGGCAACATCCACACATTCCAGAAGAGTAGAGCAGGTGAACACAGAGGTTTCAAGGAGAGGGGATGGTTACTAAGAGATGTGGGAACTGGGATTTGCCTCGAGGCTGTGGGTGGTAGGGAGCGTTCAGGAAGCTGGAGTAGAGAAGAAAACAACAGGGGCATGTTTCATGGGATCAGAGAATGCCAGATTCAGTTTCTCACAGGCGCTGGCGAGTGTCGTAGTACCCTGGATGTGCTCAAGTTCCGTCCTTCCCTACTTTAGACAGTGGCAAAGACTGTGGGTAGGTGACCACATAGTTTAATGCTGTGTTATCCATAACTGTCATATCATTGCCATTCATTATGTGCATGATAGTGTGCCATCTGATAGCATCTATGATCTCAGTTGGTCCTTACAAAGGTGTGTGTAGGGGGGGGAGGGGATGATGGACTGTGTTGTTTACACTTTATAGGTGAGGTAATTGATGTTCATTCAAGTAGTTTCAGTCTAGACTGAAGACAACTGTTTTTTCTTTTTCCCCACTTCTTTAGTTCTGAGTAAAGTCATAAAAAGAAAGTGGAAGGGTTCTTAATTCAGCAACCTTTCATGAGTGAAAATTTTAAAGAGAATTCCTTGAGATAAATGAATAATGAAAACAGCCACAGCATTGCTAGTGTGGAGTGAAGAGAATGCTGGTGGAAATTAAAACCTGGCATTGGTGAAGGGGCAGAGGAAAGCAAGACCCATGTGGGTTGAGAATGGACAGAAGCAAAATAGATGAGTTGCCACACAGAGACACACAGACACAGACACAGACACAGACAGACACAGACAGACACACAGATACACAGACACACATACACACACACACACACACACACACACACACACACACACACACTGGACCGAGCTGAACTAATAACCAAAGAAGAAAGCAAGATGGATGTTGAGTGGGAGAGATTTTAGAGCATCCTGCCCTGTGCTCTTGAAAAGTTATGGTCTCCTGGTGTGTGTCTCATGTTTTGCTTGAGGACAAGAGAAGAAGTGTATGAGGATTAAAGGGCTGTTTGCTCTCTATGGTTTGATTCTTTTTATTTTTCTCCTGTGCTTGTTTCCCATCCCTCCTCAGGTGAAGTGATTCTCTGAATGAGTCTAGCCAAAGGATGTTCTTCATTTCCTGATTTCTATGGAGACCTCAGAGTTGGGTTTGCCTCTGCTGGAACCTCATCTTCCACCCTCTCTGCCTTCCATGGTCTTTGCCTCTTTCTACAACTTGACATTGTCTGTGGGTCCATGAAGCCTTTAATGATCTTAGAAATCATCCTCATAGACTGAGCAGCAATGGTTGGACATATTTTAAGCCACATCTTAACATGGGTCAAGCCATCACTAGAAGGCAAGTGCTAAGACTAAAGACATATTTACATTTTATTTAAATTGGATGGACTGGGCTTTGGACAATTTCCATGCAGAAAAATATATTTCATTTTCTAGGCACAACTTCTGGCTGTCAGATTCTTGCTGCCTTTGAGTCTTGTAGCGTCATCACCAACCGCATCCCAGACATACTTCCCGATTTGAACATCTACCCCAAAACACGTAGGTGTTTGGGAGACCGCAACATTTCATGACTTATGTTTGAGGAGCACTAGGCTGTTGTCTAGACTAGCCAAGCTCTGGAAAGCAACGCTGAATCTCTGAGAAGAGGGAGCATGGGGTGTGCTGATTTAAAAACAGAAAATGCAAAGTTGGACTGAAAATATCCTAAGTCTTCCAGGCAATCTGCTTAAGGCTTCCAAACTTACCTTAATTTGGTAAGAAAATAAGCTGACCTATTTTTCTTTCTTCTTCTCTTACAACTGGAACCAGCCATTCCCCCAAACCACCACCATGGAGGTTGCAATGGTGAGTGCAGAGAGCTCAGGGTGCAACAGTCATATGCCTTATGGTTATGCAGCCCAGGCCCGGGCCCGAGAGCGGGAGAGACTTGCTCACTCCAGGGCGGCTGCAGCTGCTGCTGTGGCAGCTGCCACGGCTGCTGTTGAAGGCACTGGGGGTTCTGGTGGAGGCCCCCATCATCACCACCAGACGCGAGGGGCCTACTCCTCCCATGATCCTCAAGGCAGCCGAGGGAGCCGGAGGCGGCGTCGTCAGCGAACTGAAAAGAAGAAACTCCACCATCGGCAGAGCAGTTTCCCTCATTGCTCAGACTTGATGCCCAGTGGCTCTGAAGAGAAGATCTTGAGGGAGCTGAGTGAGGAAGAGGAAGATGAGGAGGAGGAAGAGGAGGAGGAAGAGGAGGGAAGGTTTTACTATAGTGAAGATGACCATGGGGATGGGTGTTCGTACACAGACCTGCTGCCACAGGATGATGGGGGTGGTGGTGGCTACAGTTCA